TTGTGCTGGAGGGGGGCCACTTGTGGCTTCGAGGGTGTCTGTTCCACATGGGCCCCGGCCGCTGTGCTCCAGGGGTCCGCAGCGTTCTCTGGGGCTGACCGTGTGTTTTCACGATGGGGACAAAGAGTCTCTTTTCCGCCCGGGTCTCCACGTGCTCTGGGGTCCAGGGGAGAGCCCTCGCTCTGCCGGCTGGTGGGTGGCGCGACACGTGGGACGCTGCCCGCGGGACGCTGCCTGCCTACAGGCACTTCCCTCTCACTCGCGTCTCCATCCCTCCACCCTTCACTCAGCGGCACCCATACCCTCCAGCTCTCCCTCTCCCAGGCCACGTCTTTGCTCCGAAGTGCTCCCTCCGGTCTCCCACCCTCCTCAGGGCAGGCCCATGACATCCCCTGCCGCCCCTCACCCTCTCTGCTGACACCTCCCCTTCCCCGTGCGCCACAACGCTGCGACGTCGGCGTGGACTCACGGAGTGGCACGTCGAGGGTGTGCTTCTCGGCGACACCGTGCTCCAGGACCGGGGCCAGGCCTGCAGAGGGTGGTGCAAGGGATGCTGACACCACCACGTGAGGATGGAGCGGGCAGTGCCTGGGCCCACGGATGGGGTTCAGCACCTACCCAGCGAACCAGGATCTGTCAGTCGTAGGGACGAGCTCGGGAGGGCCCTGTGTGGCAAAGACGCCTGCAGGGTGAGCGCCCCAGGCCTGGGAGGGCCGGCCAGTGAAGACGCCACCTTCGTTCGTGTGCATTTAACTCTGAGCAGGAGAGGAGCATCCTGTGTCACGAGGGCCGGTGCTGGGGCCTTTCTCACACACGCATTCTGCTTTTCTTTCTGGCACCCGTGAGCAGAGGCTGGCCTTCGCGGGACCTGCCTGGCACGGTGCCCAGGGTCTGACCCACCACACTCACAGGACGCTGGCACAAACACAGCACCGGCCTGCGAGCACTCGGCTGCGACGGGAACAAGCCACCCCACCTTGCGTCTCGAGTGGGCAGTGGAGCGCAGCGCTGGCCTACACGGTGCGCCCAGGCCCCGCAGCCACTTGGGAAGCGGCGGGCACCGGAAAGCAAGGCC